AGAGAGTTCCCAGGCTCAGCGCATGAGGGATTATTAGCCATCACTGCTGTCCAGGTCAATCCTGCCAGGGGCAGTACTGGAGCACTGGAAGGGAGGGGTGACCTCCACTCTTGGGCCACAGGAACTGTGAAGAAAGTGTAGATATCTGATTGTCTGTGTGCCACGGTTCTGATACTTAGCCACCATTGGAGCCTCAGGGCAGATCAGGAAGTTGCATCTTCAGCCTTCAGGTCCCACCAGGAAGTTGCCTCAGCCAGAGCACCCTTGCAGTTGGAAGAGACACTTTCCTTCCCACTGGCCATTTTCATACCTTTTCCTTAGTGGGTCAGATCTGCAAGGGAGAGTGTTTAAGGAGGGAGGGAGCCAAAGTTGAGAGGAAAAAGCCCCTCAGTGCACTGAGGCTTTAGCTCTGCCCATATAGCACTGGCAGTCTGGTATAAACACCCAGCCAGCCCCCGATTTCTTGGGTTGCCTGCCTTAACAGCTGTAGAGGGCTCAGAGCTTTTCTCCCTGGTTTCCAAGGAAGAAACCCTCCTTAGCAAGAGAGAAAGAGAAAAAAAAAGACCTGAGAGTTCCACTGTAACTAAGCCATTTGGGGGCCTCTTCTGGAGGACTGACTCCATCAGAGTACCAGACAATCACGGCCACTTCCTAGGCAGTACCCTCCAGTTTGGCGCAACCTGTACTGACCTCATGTGAAAAAGAAGTGCCACTTCGTGGTTGCCAAGATTGAGGCACCAGAAAGCTCTGGTGGTGGCGAGGGTCCATTGGTCTGCTTGGATATAAATAATAGGTGGACTCGAGCAGCAAAGGTCAGAAAAGTTTTATTTGCAGAGAAGAGAAAGGAAAGGCAGCAGGACCCAGAAACCGGTGGTCCCCTGGGTCAGGTTGGAAATCAAGTTTTATAGCTTTTTTTATTAGCAGAGGGCAGAGATTTTGATGTGGATGGATGTCAAAGGAGAGGAGTCTCTCTGGTGAGAACAGATATTTCTTGAGAAGGAGATGTGACTCCCTGGTGCAAACAGATGTTTCTTGGGAAGAAGAAGGGGCATTTTTTCACCCTGGCTAATTGTCATCTTTTGGGAACACATGGACCTTCCACAGTCTGCCCTTCAAGTGTACCATATTCCCCCCAAAATGTCTAAATACATGAAAGCCATTATGACTGTTGCTTCTTCTGCAGCCATTTCTCACTTCACAATTTCTAGTCCTCTTGTAAATGTTCTTAAGCAGTGTGTCTTTTGGTTTTTTTAATATAATATAACCGTCCTTTTTTTGATAACATAGAGATTAGTAATGATGAGTCATACAGCCTAACTTTTCTTCAGTTGACTGATTTCATAAACTCAGACAAGACCCTTTCTCCAAGTCTCAATTTCCACCTTTACGAAGGATGTTGTACTCAATGGTCTCTAGGGGCCATTCTCAAGGACACTGTCATTGTTTCTGGCTGCCAATGTCTCCCTTGGTTCTCTGTCTTTCTCTCTTCTCCCAGCAAGTAAAACTCGGCAGCCCTGATTACATAGACTGTGATCAAGAAAAGGTTTTGGACGACTTTCTAAAAAGAATTGAGTGCTATGAGGTCAACTACCAACCCTTGGATGAGGAATTGGACAGGTAAGAAGAGCCCAGAACCCCAAAGTCAATGTCTGGATCCTTAAACCAGTTTTAATGTCCTACAGGACCTAGAGAAATATCCTCTCTCTCTGGGCCTCAGCTTCTCTATCTGTAACATCAGAATTGTTACTTGGTGATTTCTCTTCATGGACCTCAAAGCTCTAATTTTCCATAAGTAGTAATTCCTTGATATGTGAGGCATTCATGAGATTAACTGAAATAGTGATTTCCTGAGCAATATGAAAACATCAGGACCCTGATCTGTAAGAACAAATGCCTCCCTCCTGTGGGTGTTGCTATTATTATTGCAAAAGTTTTCTTCACATATGAATGACCCTTCAGTTTCCAAACATGTTTGTCTTTATCTCACTGAATGCTCACAGCACCTCCATAAAGAAGTCTGAGATAGGTCTGATGGTTATAACTTTTCAAAAAGAGGAAAATGAGTCTTATTGAGCTGAAACTGCTTTCCCAAGTTCCCACCACAAGTCAGGGATAGAGCTAGAATTCTAACCTTATATTTTGTCTCCTCTCTTAATATTCATGTACATCTTCAATCAGCAAGTATTTGGTCCCTTTGAGTTCTAGTGTATGCAGAGGGTATAAATAGAAGCAAGAGAGATGGGCTCTGTCCTCAGGAAGTTTCCATAGTGCCTTGACATATGGGAAGATCTGTGTAAAATAAGAAATTTTCTGCCATAGTACCAGCTAAAGATAGGAGTGGTGATAACTGGAAGTTCAGGACATATGTGGGTTTAGATGTAAAGTGTTCCCAGTACTGCATGCTCTTCAAAATGGATTGTCATCCACACCCTTTGAGACCCAAGTGTGAAGTATAAAGAGCCCTTAAATGGTCATTACCACTCTAGGATGTTTAAATAGCATCATTTTAGCTTTACCCAACTGAAGTACTGAGAGATTATCATGTTATTGCTCTACTCCTTAGATGGAGAAACTGAGATCCAGACCAAATAAAAGGCTTTCCACACAAGTCAGCAGCAGAGTTTATACTAAAACCTATTTCCTCTAGATTCTGGCCTGGTTTTTCTCCTCCCACATCCCTGTATCATAAGAAGTATTACATAGGGCTTAAACACTCAATGCAAGGGGTATGGCATTTATGTACAGTTTTTCACATTATTCACTGTATATGCTCCCTGGTCAAGTGTACACTTCCTTCTCTCAAGAAGATGTGTGCTTGAGTAGGATTGTGTATGTTCTGAAGTGGGATTGTATATGCTCAAAAGCAACATGTGCATTTAGCAGCATATCATGATAGAACCTTGTGGTGGATGCCAAAGTGAAAGAATGGCTTCAAGAAAGCCCTGAGCCCTGAGCCCTGCTATAGGGGCTCTGTTGAGTTTTGATGAATCAGTTTGGGCCTGAATAAGATAAGTCTAGGAGGCCAGCTTTATTTCATCATTTTTCCATCAGTAGACATTTACAGTTCATGCATCAGGGCCCAACCTTAGCTGTACTTGAGGAGCCCAAAGAAGGAAGGGCTGTCCTTGCTCTGATAGAATGTCCAGTTGGTTAGAAATGATAGTGTGTACACAGTTGATCTCAGTTGTGAGAGCAATAAACCAAGTGAGTTGAAGAAACACAGAGCAGGTGAGTTGGCCCAGCTTGGAAGGAAGAAATCCTGAAGTGCTGCATTGCTCAATAGGCAGACTAAAAATGTGTTTAGGGCACCACCAAGATTAGGACTTCTGAAACTAAGAAGACTATCCTAAAAGATTTGATATTTAATATTTCCAAAAACAGCATCAAGGTAGCCAAAATGAAAAAAGTAAAACCAGAATTTGGTAGGACCTCTGATAGAATATAGGGGGTGTCTTCCATTTTCTTGCATTTGTTAGGAGTTACTTCATGTCCTAAAATATCCATTTTGGAGAAAGTTAAATGGGCTGCTGAGAATAATAAGTATTTTTTAGCTGTTGGATGAAATAGTCTGTAGCTATCTATTCAGACCATTTGACCTACAGCAGTGTTATTTAATTCTGAAATTTCTTTGTTGATATTTTTGTCTGGATAACCTATTAGTGAGAGTGGGATATTGAAATAACACACTGTTATAGTGTTGCAGTTTATCTGTGCTTCTACATCCAGTAGTTTGTTTTATGAAACTGGGTGCACTGATGTTTTGTCTATATATGTTTACAATTATTATCTCTTCTTGGTATATTGTTCCCTTTATTTATATGAAGTGACCCTTTTTGTCCCTTCTGACTAATTTTGGCTTGAAGACTGTTTTGTAAGATGTGAGTACAGCTATTCCTGCCTGCTTTCAGGATCCATTTCCTTGGAAAATCTTTTTCCATCCTTTCACTCTAAGCCAATGTTTGTCCTTGTCAGTAAGATGCATTTCTTGAATGCAACAAATGATTAAGTCTTGTTTTTTAATACAACCTGCTAGTCTATGTCTTTTGATTGGGTAATTGAGACCATTATGATTCAGTGTTATTATTGAAAAGTATGTAGTATTTTCTGTAATTTTGTTGTTTTATGTTTTCTTCTATTCTAATCCTCAGTTGCTTATCTACTCATCTAGTGAGATTTATTCTTTCCTGTATTTCCCTGGTTGTGTTTATCTTCCTCTTCTGGCTATAGGATTCCTTTAAGTATCTTCTGTAGTGCTGGTTTAGTGATCATGGAATTCATGATCACTAAACTTTTGTTTATCATGGGAGGTTTTTATTTTTCTTTCAATTATGAAGGATAGTTTTGTTGCATCTTATTAATATAGCTTATAAAAGTTATTTTAATGTACACTTGATGTACTTGGTGATTCTAAATGACTTTACATGACTCTGGACTCAAATGTGCTAGCTGTTGAAATGTATGCATGAGAGTGCGTCTTTGGAAATCAGGTAAGAAATGTCTGTTCAAGCAAAGAGAACAGTTCTTTAGAATGACCTAGTTAAATCTGAGTAAGAGAAGAGAAGTACACAGAATATTCCAAGTATAACAACAAAGGCAAGAAAACAAGAAAAAAAAGTTATGGGTATGGCATGGGGCTGTGAGGTGAGGCCAGTATATGGAAGGACCTATAATGTCAAGCTAAGCTGAAGAATCTGGAAGATCTCATAGAGCCATGCAGGACCTAGTATTAGAAACAAACAGTAACCAGACAACAAGGTTGCATCAGATATTTTATTTCTAGGCTCTGAGGATCCTGGAGAGATAATTGGAGAGGGGGAGCATTCTGTAGTTAAATCACAAGTCTACTTCTTTCTGAGAAGGTGACCTTAAGCAAACCACTTTCTCTCTCTGTGCTTTGGTTTTCTCACATATAAAAATACAGATGATAATCTCTTCCTTGTATGGTAGTTAGTTATGAAGATTCATGTACCTTAAAATCCCCACTCCCTGCTAGATGCACTGAAAATGTTTAACAAATGCAAGTATCCTGTGAGAACCACTGGACATGGATCATAACTGGGAATTGATGAATGTGATGGGGACATAAAGGACTTCTCTAGTAAAATCAAGGGAGAAGCTTTTAAAAACCAAACCCACCAGCTAGTACAGCTCTTTCCATTCACTTGGATTTCCTGCTGTACAACCAGAGATGGTAGTATCACTCCATTTTCCCAGCCTCCCACACTTACTCCCAGGAACGCCTTTCAATACAACAACCAGAGAGTTAATGGATGGCACAGCAGAATCCTAAGACATCTTTGTCCATGGTTCTAATCTTCTGATTAATCCTCCATCCTACCCTCCAGCTTCTCCAGAAATAGGTTGAGGAATAGTTTTATTAACACTCTATCAGTGTGTAGTGTTCATGACAGCACAGAATTGAGGGCACAACAAGGAGCTTGGAGCATGGACCACAAGTTTCCCAATTATGTTGTGGACCACAAACTAGTATCCCTACACACCAGTACTTGACACACCTTACAGTGCATGTTTGTGGAATGAATGTTGAGCATTGATCATGTGTTTCCAAATATATGTTCCTGACTGGCCCAAGAGCTCCCAAAGGGCAGATGCTGGGTTCCCACCCCCCACACAATGCCTAGACACAGAAGAGAGTATTTGTGAACTGCATGGAATATAGGGACAGAACCCAGCCTAATCCCCTTTTGGAGTGAGGAGAGATACACACACATGTACAAACATATGCACACACAGACACAAACAGGTAGCTGCCTATATAATATAAAGTACATATTATAACAGCAAAGGATCAAAACACAAGGGGAGAGAAGAGTTCAGCTTAGAATTGAAAAGGGTTGGGGAATGACAAGACAAGAGATGGTGGTTAAATGTTGGAAACAGCCAGGGATCCTCAGATAAATTCCTAAGTATGACTGGAATTTAAACCACACAGGAAAGAACCCAAGCTGCCTGCATTATGATGAGTGAAGGTGAAAAGACAGCCTGGCTCAAGGTGAGGATGAGGAAAGGAGATGGGGGTGGCGAGTGGCTGTGAGGAGGGAGATAATAACAGGCAAGGAGCTGCATGGAACGGTCAGGAACTAAATTTCTAGGACAGCCACCAGAACAGGATAAGGCATAGCATCCTCTTGGGTAAGATCTGAATTGCAGAGGAGGCTAAAAAGCAGGATGTGTGGTTGGGACTTGCTCCTGGGATCAACATTCTGCACCATCAGCCTCTGAGCCTCCCTTGCTCCTGCTTGGGTCTGGCCTAGCCACCTGTCCTACATCAAGATCTTCGATGTGGGCACACGCTACATGGTGAATCGAGTGCAGGACCACGTGCAGAGTCGCACAGTCTACTACCTCATGAACATCCACGTCACACCACGCTCCATCTACCTATGCCGACATGGCGAGAGTGAACTCAACCTCAGAGGCCGCATCGGAGGTGACTCTGGCCTTTCAGCTCGGGGCAAGCAGGTAGGGAGGGCTCCATGTGCTAAGGTGGGCTGGCTGAACTAGCTCAGGTGCAGTGACCACTGCCTAGGGACTGAAGAGGGGGTACCTAGTGATGGGGTAGAAGCAGATTATGGTCACTCTTCCTCCTCCACACCACCAGCCATTCAATCATGATGCAGTCATTGAATGGCTCCCATATGCCAGTCAACTGCTTCTGAAAGTCTAATAGCTTCATCCTGGCCTGCATAAATGCTTCTCCAGCCCCATCCCACTGACCACCCTTTGCTCCCTACCTGATGGGTCCCCTCATCAATCTCATGGCTCTGTGCCTTTGTTTGTGCCTACCTTGCTGCCCTGTCAGCTGGTGACCATCAGAGAGCTTCCCTGAGGGCCCTGCCCTGAGTCCCTCTTCTCCATGACTCAGGGCTGTTACTGCCCCCAACCCACTGCAGGAATCACACTGTCCCCACCCCTTTTGCTGCCTCCCCAGCTGCCCCCCCAGCTCCTTTACAAGACCCAACTTCTGCTTCGAGATCTGTCCTCCAGGAAACCTTCCCCAGCCTCTCCTCCTCCCAGGGAGGTCACTGAGCCCTGTGATCTATCTCTTCCCATTTGGCCTGTTTCTGACTTCCAGGCCCCGAGTCTCTTCCCCAAAGCCAGGCATTGTGAGCTGCACATTCTGGATGCTGCCCACATAGAGAGATACATTTCCCACATCTGACCTTGGGCCTGAGCTTGTTAGCACAGGTATCGCTTGCTAGAGGATTGCTTGGGGTTTGGATACGTGGGAAATGAAGAGCAGGAGGGACATTCATTGTCATTATTGTCATTTATTAGACACCTATGCAGAGTCAGGGTACCATCTGCTTTCACATCTGCAGCCTCATTTAATCTTCACAATAGCTGCACCACAGGCTTATGAATGAGAAAAATGAGGCCCAGAGGGAGCAGAGAACAACCCGTCTTAGAGCTGGTACAAGACAGAGACAAGACTGAAAACCAGGCCTTCCTGCCTGGCCTTAGCACCCCAGCTGGAGAGATGGGAGGTGTCCTAGGCTTGATGCTGCCCCAGAAGCCTGGTTCTCATGGCTCCCTTCCATTCCCTCCAGACTGGCAGCCTTCCCTTGATGTAGGCTGTGATCGAATTCCCACCCCTCCTGCTTCCCAGAATGGAAACAAACACCACTGGAGGTGTCACCCCATCTCACGACACCACCTGCATCATCCTGGGCTCTCTTGGATGGAGGTGGCCCTGGCCTGCTGTGCGACTCAGAGCCAGTTGGACACATGGCCTCCTGTGCACACAAACATTCACGCCAGGCCCCAGTCATGCTCATGGATACTGTACACTAGGCCTGGTTCAAAAGTACTTTCCCATTGACTGTCACCCGATGAGTGAGAGCACTCACTCATGCACCACCTACTGGGTACCAGGGAGTGGTCTGGGTGTTCACCCAGCCACCTAAAATGACACTCAGAGACAAGTCCAGGAAAGTAAATGCTGCTCACATCTTACAGGCAGGGACTGAGAGCTCACGGGAACAGTGCATGGGAGGCATTAGTCCATGTCTCCTACCTCCCAGGCAAGGGCTCCTTCTGCCCATGCACACTGACTCTGACTCATATCCATCATTCAGTGTAGACATAAAATGCCTGTATTTGTAAATATTTAATGTGCACTTATGTGTTCCTAGCACACACCCTGTTCACAGAAGGAGAGTAGATTCCCACTCTTCTAGCCTCCCACAGCTCTTCTTGGTTCCTCTTGGTGTTGCCATTGTTTCTCTCCCTGTACTGGCCATGTCTTGAGAACAAGAACACCTCTGAGCCCAGCATATCGCCATGGACACTGAGTTCATGTGTAGATGTCCTTCAAACCTGGGTGCCAGGATCCCTGCTCAAACAATTGAAATTCACAGCATAAAAGTACAAGAGTGGGTTAATCTGATCAGTGTACAATATATGCATATGTAAAATACCACAGTGTAATCTTCTTGTACAATTGATATACACTAATAAAATTTTTATTTAAAAATGTCTCTCTAATCCCACTTCCTTCTTCCCCACATACACACATATCCAGACCTTGCCCTAATAGACTGAGTCTGCTTCCAGTACCTACTTGGGCCTGTTTGAGGGTCCCCACCTAAAGGCAGGTCATGTTACAGAAGTGTTCACCCTTAGTCCCAAGGGTAGCCAAGGGGTCACTATTTGTGGAGCATGGTGATCACTGGAGGTGGGTTGTGCACAAAACTTGGTCATATAATTTGATAATCCACAAGCATGTACTCAGAAGACTCCTAGAAGTGCAGAATGACACCAGAAATGTAAGGAGAAAGGAGGTAGAGTTTGGGATACCTCCATTTATATTATTGTCTCGGGCTCCAAAAGTGTTATAGGTGGACCTGTTTGAATGACTAACTAGTAGGGGGTTCAGTGAGGAAGCATCAATGACCACACACACAGGCACACATAAGCTCACATACATTTTTTTCTATTTCCTTGACCTTGAATCACATAGGGTAGAGTATGACTGTTTTGTTTTTATTTTTGACACTTTGTACATGTTTATCAGGTACAATTTATTATTGTAATACAGATATGCATTGTATGTATATTGTATATTGATCCATCACCATATACATTTATCATTTCTGTGTAATGAGAACATTCAAAATTCTTTCTTCTAGCTATTGAAATGTGCAACCCCTTATTTTTAACTATCGTCATCCTACTGTGCAGTGGAAGGCCAGAATTTATTTCTCCTAACTAAATTTGTACCCATTGATCAACCACTCCTTGTCCCCCCTTACAAAGACTTTGTCTTTTTATAAATCTGGAACATTTAAACTTCCCATTTTGGTTATTCATCACCACCCACCATTCATGGTAGATTTGAGCTTGTTCTCATGGTTCCTCTACCCTTTCTCACCTCTTTTTCCCCTCTTCTGTACCCCCATACTCTAGTATGCCTATGCCCTGGCCAACTTCATTCAGTCCCAGTGCATCAGTTCCCTGAAAGTGTGGACCAGCCACATGAAGAGGACCATCCAGACAGCTGAGGCCCTACATGTCCCCTATGAACAGTGGAAAGCCCTGAACGAGATTGATGCGGTGAGAAGGAAGGGATGAATCTCTTGGCAGGTGGAGGGACTCGAGTTTGGGTTTATCCCATGGATTGCCTCTGCTCCAGCCCCTGTGGGGGAACCTAATTAGTTCAATAAACATTACTTGACAACTGTCTTGGTACAGAACACTACTCTGTGTCTTCAGGATCCTGTGAAGGCTGAAATCGAAAGGTCTATGCCCTCATGGAACCCAAAGGGAAATAGTAAATAGGATATTACATGTAAGTGTGGCAGTGTTCTGAAAAGACAAGTACAAGGGATTGTGGAGGATCAAATGATGAGGATGCTTCTGACCTGCTATGGGGAGGGAATTTATAAGTAAAGCTTCCTGGAGACTGTTCAAGATTAGATACAGGAAAAGTGGGCTGGAAGTGAAGACAATAAATTTAGTTCAGGTGCAAAAAACAGGTCATATGAAGGCCCAGAGGTAAGAAGAGAGCATGGTCTGTCCAAGAAACTAAAAGAATAGCGGACAGGCTGAGACAGCAATAATGAGATGTGGGGATAAGGGAGATGAGGCTGGAAAAAGACCCTGGACCTGGATTTTCAGATTTGGATACTGCTCTGTCATCAGTGGGAAGCCATTAACATGGTTTAAGTCAAGGAGGAGAGGTCTGAATGTGATTACATTTTTAGAAACCTATTCTAGACATGTGTGGAGATTAGGTGGGAAGAGTGCCAGTGTGAGCATGTAGACAAGTCAGGAGGTGGCACATTACTATGGCAAGAGGTAAGGGCATGTGGGACCAGAGTAGTGGTATTAGAGATGAAATGAAGAGCAAGGATATTGGGATGTTTTCAGGGTGTCACCCATGGAGTGTGATGGTGTACTAGCTGTAAGGGGTAAGGAAGAGGGAATAGTGAAGGATCCAAACCTGGTGACGTGGCAGTCTTTCTCCAGGGTCAGTTTTTTCCACAAACTCTTTAAGACTGGAGTTGTTTCCTCTACCTTGTCTTAAGTACTATGGGTACACTGGCACCAGGCTGTAGTCCATAGGTTATGGTTGTTAGACCCCAACAGAAAACTTAATCAGAAGTGTAGGTAACTTGTGTGGGGGTAGGTTAACTTGGTTACCTGCTTGATATGCTTCAATAGATACAGATGTGTGTTTATACATTCAGACATATACACCTAATAATATGTGCACAGAAGTACACATATTTAGAAAAAGGTTATATAGTGTTAGTGTACATATCACATACATTTCCAGTAAAATTTGTGCATGAAAATACATAAACCTCATCATGCAAGTTTAGATGCTGCTTATTTCTGGCTTACATATGTAAATATTTGTTGAACACCTACTTTTTCAGGTTGTGGGTGGTGCTGTAGGCAGAGATTAATCTGACAGATTTTTGTCTTGACTGAGTTATCAGGCTACATAGGGCAGATAGAATAGGGCAGATAGAAGAATCAACAAAGAAATACAAAACATCATGGCTGATTGACAAGACTGTGGGCACAAAGAAGTCAGTGCAAGATACCTGACTCAGCCAGGTTCTGCCTAGAGGAACTGATGCCTAGCTGTCAGTGTACCAGGTAGAGAAGATCAGGAATGATGTTCCAGGCAGAGAGTGCAGTATAAGCAAAGAGAGGGGTGTGTGTGTGTGTGTGTGTGTGTAAATTGGAAATGCTAAAGTTGTAGCAGTGTAGATAGAGGGGAAGGAACAGGAAAATATTTGAAGAGATGTAAGAAATAAATCTCAGGAATTGACTATAGGGAGTAGGTAAGAAAGAAGCAAAAATTTAGAATGCTGCCTAAGTTTCTAGCTTATTTTCCGTTATTAACACTAATACTAATGTTTAATTCCATTGATTTTTTTCATGTGCCTTGTACATCCTGTACTAGTATCTTTTATGTGCATTATGTATGCTTAATATTCAAAGCACTTATATAAGATATTGCAATTCTCATTTTGCAAATGAGGAAAATAAAATTCAGAGAGCTTCCCCGCCACAGTGGCTTATGCCTATAACCCTACTATTTGGGAGGCTAAGATTGGGAAGATCACAGTTCGAGGCCAGCCTTGGTAAATATCTCTTGAAATAACCAGAGCAAAATGGACTAGAGGTGTGGCTCAAGTGATAAGAGTGCCTGCTTTACAAGTGTGAAGCTCTGAGTTCAAACCCCAGTCCCACCAAAACAAAAAGTTCACAGAAGTAAACTTTAGGCAATTTGCCTAAAGTCAAAATAAGGAGTCAGTGTCCATTTCCACAGGGACAAGGCTCCCAACATACCTCAGAATAGAAGGTTGAAGCCAATTTGGAAAGATTTGTGTTCCCAGGAAGCTGCACTTCCTTCCATGGGCATTGTCAGTTCAAGAAGTTGGATACTGTAGAGCTGCTTGTAAGTTGTTGGCAAATGTTTATTTCCTCACAAGTGAGGAAAGCTTGGAAGACGGTCCCAAAAGATAACAACCAGAAGTTGCTGTCCCCCTTTCAGGAAGGTTTAATTCATATATTCAGAAGGAAATTTTATTTTTTTTAATTATCATATTATTGTTGTACTGGGAGTACACTGTGACATTTACAAAAGTCCTTACGCTATATCATAGTTGAATTCACCCCCTCCATCATTCTCCTTTATCCTCCCTCCCTCCATTCTTAGAATAGTTTCAGCAGATCTCATGTTTCCATTTTCATACATGCGTACATACTATTTCTACCATATTTACCCTTCTACACCCTTCCTTTATATCCTCCCCCTCCCACTTGTACCAACCCCCAGACAGGACCCGATTTACATTTCTGTCCACCATTTTTGAGAGCAAAAGACATTTTTGCTTGTTTAAGATACCTATACAGAGAATTTCATTATGACATTTCCATGTATTGTGTACCACATTGGTTCATCCCCTCCATTTTTCTCCTTTCTATCTTAGTCGTCTTTTTATGGTGAGTTTAACAGAAGGAAACTTTAGAAACTCAACTTCTCTTCTCACCATGAGCAGCAGCCACCTGACTGAATCCACAATTCCTTCCTTGGATGAAGAAAGTGTATCTCCCAAAAGCCTGCTCTGAAACCATTTGGAACTTACTAGTTTCTACCCTTTGTTATGTCTGTGGATACCTGCATCTCTATTTGCCAAAGTAGGGGCAGGACAGGAGGAATAGGGAAGACTATACAATGGGAAAGAAAGAACCACTGTATTGTGCACATGTATGTACTTGCATACTGAGTCACAGACACTCTCTACAAGTATGCTTATGTGTGCATACATATACTTCACAGACATAGGTACCCTCTTTTTCTGATCACACCAGTACCATACATGCACACACAGAGATATACATGTGTATAAAGTATGGACACATTCATCATATACACACACACAGTTTTATATATACTTCACGTGACACAGAGGAGCATACCACAGGCATGAACACAGCATATATACATGGCCTCAAGCATATTACTGCAAATTCATAGAGATCTCAGGCACAGGCACATAGACACACATATATAGCAAAAACACAATGAGGGTCATATGCATTCATGGATACACATGCCAAAGACACACTGAAACCTGCATGGAGACATATAGCACAGGGACACCACAAGGGCACATTCTCACGTGCTCAGACACCTTGTATATATACACACATACACACTCTCACTCACACAAAAACAACATGTCAGAGACAAATGTACACACAAACACGAGGCAGAAAGAAGTCCTTAAACATACCTCAGGTACACATCATAAATATGCTGCACATATGTTTGCAAACACAATCATAAATACTTATGCCTGCATATTTATAAAAATACATACTTGTATGTATAATGTATATCTATAGACCTACTGAGACAATCACAACAAAGTACCATTTCACCCCCATACGGCCACATACTTTATGCACACCTATACATATAAACTCATAAACAATAGGTACAGCTCCAGAGTTAGGTTTATGGAGGCCCAGGTGTTCTACTGTTCCATAATCATTGGTATCAGAACACAGCAAAGCTTGTGTAGATTTTACCAGGTGAATACTTTTGTCCCCAAATACTTTTTTTAGGGTGTTTGTGAGGAGATGACCTATGAAGAAATCCAGGAACACTACCCTGAAGAATTTGCACTACGGGACCAAGATAAATATCGTTACCGCTATCCCAAGGGAGAGGTAAAGTTTGAGGGATGGCCTAACTCCCAGGACTCCTTCCCATTATGTTCATTCCAAATGCCAGGATTCCACAGTTTCTTAAACATCTGTAGAGGCAGGGTAAATCATATTTTGCAACAGCTGCCATTCTACAAGGCACATGATTATTTGGCCCTTGACTGTCTCAGATCCTTGGCTATAGGCAACATACCTCTCTTTTTAAAAATCAACATATTTGCCAGGTGTGGTTCTACATGCCTGCAATCCCTGACCTTGGGAGGCTAAGGCAGGAGGATTTCAGATTTGAGACCAGCCTGGGTTACATAGCGAGACCCTGTTTCAAAAAAATCTACGTATTTGCCTGCTTATGCTCTTTCTGCTTTTAGGAGAGACTAATTTATTCTATACTTTATCTGTGATGTACCCTCACTTGAAGATACTTGAAATTGTTCAACATACTCTAATTTTTTGACAACTTATTACCAAGTAACCTAAAGCTCCAGTCTCCCTGGGAAGTTGGCATCATTCCAAGAGACAGTAGGTACTAATTTAATCACGTCTTTGCCACCAAATGTCCCAGACCATCAGTAACCTATCCCCATATGAGATGAATGGTCATTTCTTTCAACCCAACCTCTACTTAGACAGTTTTGCATTTTAGAGCACTTAGTAGTAATATTTCATTTCTAATACAAATTCCTATGAACAGTTATCAGAAAAGCAGGACATCTGGAAAGGTAAAATAATAGATATTCTGTTGAATTTCAAAGCACTTTGACATTTTTATTTTCATCCTCAAAAATGGCCCTATCAAGGCTATCTTAATTTGCCCTTGTTTTCCTTTATATATTTTGAGGCTGTGTTATTAGAGGTATACAAATTTAAAGCAATTTTATCTTCTCTATGAATTGTAAATTTTATTATTACATAGTGACCAAACCTCTTTTTCCGTAAGAATGCTATCTGCCTAAAAATATATTTTATCTAACATTAATATAACTATGCAAGATTTCTTCTGATGACTATTTGCCTGGTTCATCATTATTCATTTACTTTCAACTTCTCTATATGTTCTTATTTTGTCTCTTGTAAATACCTATAGTTGCATTTTTTTGTTTCCTTTATTCATATGTGCATACAATGATTGGGTCATTACTCCCCCACATTTTTTGTTTTTAATCCAAGCTGAAAATGTATGTCTTTCAAGTGGTAAGTTTGATAAATTTGTTATTGTTGTAATACTTGTTTTTAAGTTTGTGTTATCTTGTCTTGACTGTATGCTTAGTTATCTTTTTCTCTTCTCCTGCTTTCTTTAGGATTGACTTTTTACATCCATGTTTAAGTTATATAATCCATTTCCATTCTTTTAGAGGTTACTCCCAACATTTTTTAAAGATTTCAGAATAGTTTTTTCTGTTCTTAAAGATATTCCACCAACAGTAAGAGGCCAAAATGTTATACTTTAAAATCGCTCAAAATAATTCTTTGCTGTATGTTTTTATGCAGCTGACTTGAACACTTAACATCTTTTTCTTTTTATTGTGGTTTATGTTTTAATTATACAAAACAATGGATTTCATTAAGACATTTCTACACATGTGTACAATATACTTTGGACCTATTCACTCCATCAACCTTCCTTGTCCCCCTCACTGCTCCACCTGGTTTCTTTCCCCAAAATAGTCTACTGTTAAGGTTTATGTCTTTTTGTTTATTCGTTTATATTTAGAGACCTAGATCCTCTACATGAGAGAAAACATACAATATTTGTCTTTCTGTGTCTGGTTGATTTCACTTAACATGATGATCTCCAGTTCTGTCCATTTTCCTGCAAATGACATAATTTCATTCTTCTTTATGGACAAATAATACTCCATTGTGTGTATATACACCACATTTTCTTTACCCATTCATCTGTTGATGGACATCTAGGCTGATTCCATAACTTGGCTGTTGTTAAAAAGTGCTGCAATAAACATGGGTGTGCATGTATCTTTATTATATGATTACTTACATTCCTTTGGGTATATGCCCAGGAATGGAATAGCAAGATCATATGGTAGTTCTATTTTTAGTTTATTGAAGTAACTCCATACTAATTTCTGTGGTTGATGGACTAATTCTGACCAACCGTGTATAAGGGTTGCTTCTCTCCTACCCTGCATCCTTGCCAGCATTTGTTATTGATTTCTTGATGATAGTCATACTGACCATAGTGAGATGGAAATCCCAGTGTTTTTTTGATTTGCATTTCTTTTATGGCTAAGGGTGTTGAACATTTCAACATTTCATGGGCTTATTGGCCTTTTGTGCTTCTTTTGAAAACTATTTAATTCATTTGCCCATTTATTACTTGGATTATTTGTTCTTTTGGTGTTTAATTTTTGTAGCCCTTTATATATTCTGGATAGTGTTCCCTTATCAAATGAATACCAAACAAAGATTTTCTCCTATTCTGTAGGCTGTCTCTTCACTCTGATAATTGTTTCCTGTGGTGTTCAGAAACTTTTTAATTTGATGTTACCCCATTTGTCAATTCTTGCTCTATTTCCTGACAAATTAGAGTCCTATGCAAAAAGGCATCACCTATGCCTATATCGTCAAGAGTCTTCCCTAAGATTTCCTGTAGTAAGTTCTCAATGTTTTAGGTCTTACATTAAGATCTTTGTTCCATTTTGAATTGATTTTTGTATAGGGTGAGAGATAGGGATCTAGTTTCAGTCTTCTACATGTGGATATCCAGTTTTCCCATCACTATTTTTGAAGAGGCTGTCTTTTCTACAATGTTTGTTTTTGGCACCTTTGTCAAGAATCAGATGACTATATCTATATGGGCTTACTTCTGGGTCTTCTATTCTGTTCCATTGGTCCATGTGTCTGTTTTTGTGCCAATACCATGCTGTCTTTGTTACTATGGTTCTGTAGTATAATTTAGAGTCAGGGATTGTGATACCTCCGGCATTGCTCTTTTTGTTTGGGATTGCTTTGGTTGTTCAAGGTCTTTGGCACTTCCATATGAATTTTAGGATTTTTTTCTATTTCTTTGAAGAATGTCATTGGGGTTTTGAAGGGAATTGTGTTGAATCTGTAGATTGCTTTTGGTAATACAGTCATTTTTAGATATCAATTCTGCCAACCCATAAACATGGGAGATCTTTGCATTTTCTAATGTCTTCTTCAGTTTCTTTCTTCAGTGCCTTATGGTTTTCATTATAGAGGTCTTTCACCTCCTTGGTCACAGTTATTCCTAGGCATTTAAACTTTTCAAGGCTATTGTGAATGGGGTTGTTTTCCTGGTTTGTTTCTCAGCCTGTTCATTAGTGATATATAGAGAAGCTACTGGTTTTCATATGCTCATTTTGTAACTTACTACTTTGATGAGTATGTTTATCAGATCTAAGAATTTTCTAGTAGAATCTTTATGGTCTTTCAAGTATAAGAACAAATCATCTTCAAATAGGATAACTTGAATTCTTCCTTTCCTATTTGTATCTCTTTTATTTCTTTATCTTGCCTATTGTCTGGCTAAGTTTGAGCACTATGTTGAATAAAAGTGGAGAGAGTGGACACCCTTGTCTTGTTCCTGATTTTAGAATAAATGCTTTCAGTTTTTCCCCATTTAGTGTAATGCTGACTATAGGTTTGTCAGCATATAGGTTTGTCACCATAACTTTTATTATGTTAAAGTCTGTTCCTTATATTCCTAGTTTCTTCAGAGATTGAGCGTGTTTTATTTTGTCAAAGGCCTTGATCATGTGAATTTTTTTTGGTGGTACTGGGGTTTAAACTCAGGGCTTCACACTTGCTAGGCAGGCACTCTACCACTTGAGCCACTCCACCAGCCCATGATGATCATGTGATTTTTGTTTCTGGTTCTATTTATATGTCATATTATGTTTATTGATTTGCCTATATTGAACTATTCTTGAATTCCTAGAATGAAACCAGCTTAATCATGATATATGATCTTTTTAATGTGCTATTGAATTCAATTTGCAAGTGTTATTTTTATTTTTTGGTGTGACCAAACTTTAAACTGAGGGCTTTGTGCTTGATAGGCATGCTGCTGACCCTTTTTTGCTTTATTTATTTTTTGGATAGGGTCTCATATTTTTGCCCAGGTTGCATTGGACCACAATCCTCCCACATATGCCTCCTACTTAGCTGGGATCACAGATATGAGCCACCACGCCTGGCTGGTTTGCAAGTATTTTATTAAGAATTGTGTCTGCATTCATCAAACATATTGGTCTTCAGTTTTCCCTTTTTTTGTGTTGTCATATTCTTATCCAGTTTTGGTATCAGAATAATGCTGACTTCGTAGAATGAGTTTTGTAGCATTTCTTCCCTTTCTATTTTATGGAATGGTTTGAGGAGCATTGCTGTCAGTTCTTCTTTAAATATCTGGTAGAATTCAGCAGTGAATCTGGCCAGTCCTAGGCTTTTTTGGGGGGAGGCTTTTTATTACTGCTTCAATCTCCTTGCTCATTATAGATCTGTTTAAGTTGTTTGCACCTTCTGGTTCAATTTTGGTAAGTCATATGTGTCTAGAAATATGTCCATCTCCTAGATTTATTGGATTATAATTTTTCAAAATGTTCTCTAAGTAATGATCCATTGGATTTCATTGGCATCTGTTGTAATATTCCCCTTTTCATCTCTATTTTTATTAATTTCGGTCTTCTCTCCCTTGCTTTTGTACATTTTGGCTAAGTATTTATCAGTCTTCTTAATCTTTTCAGAGAACCAGCTCTTTGTTTCATTGATTCTTTGTATTATTCTTATTGTCTTATTGTGTTATTATTATTAATATTGCATTAACTTCTGCCCTAATCTTTATTATTTTTCTATCTACTAATTTGGAGGTTTGCTTCTTCTTGTTTTTCTAAGACTTTGAGGTACATTCTTATTTTATTTATTTGAGACCTCTCTGAATTTTTAGATGTTGGCATTCATAACTATGAACTCCCCCTCTTAGTACTGCCTTTGCTGTATTCCATAGGTTCTGGTATATTGTATTTTCATTTAATTGTAGGAGTTTTTTAATTTCCTCCCTTATTTCTTTAACCATCACCTTTTCATTCAAAAGCATATTGTTCAATCTCCATGTGCTTGTGTAGTTTCTATAGTTTTTGTTGCTATTGGTACCTAATTTTATTCCATTATGATCTGATATGATGCAAGAAATTATTTTAATTTTCTTATATTTGTGAAGATATACTTTATGGATTTAAGTGTGAACTCTTTTGGAGAAAGTTCTATAGGTTACTGAGAAGAATGTGTCTTCCACAGATGTTGGATGTAGATATCAGTTAAATACATTTGGTACAGTTTAACTCTGAAATTTTCTGTTGATTTTTGTTTGCCTGGAGGATATTGATTAGAGTGCAGTACTAAATTCCAGATTGTATCTGGATCATTCTGTCCCTGTATGTCCAGTAGTGTTTGTCTTATGAAATTGGGTGTACCAATATCTAATGCATATAAATGTACAATTGTTTTATCTTCTTGATGGATTGTTCCCTTTACTAATATATAGTCTATCCCTTTATCTCTTCTGAGTAATTTTGGCTTGAAGTCTATTTTGTCAGATATGAGTATAGCTACTCCTGCTTACTTTTGACTTTCATTTACTTGGTATATTGTTTTTCATCTTTTCACTTTCAGCCTGTGTATGCTTTACAAGTGATGTGTGACTTTTAGACAACAAATACTTGGATCTTATTTTTTAATCCCATTAGCCAGTCTGTGTCTTTTAATTGGAAAGTTTAGACCATTTACATTTAGAGGTATTACTAACAGGTGTTTTCTGATTCCCATAACTTTGATTTTTTTCTTCTTCGTTGATTATATTACTGTTTGTTCTATTCTCTTGCCCTTATTCATCCTAGAAGGTGCTGAGTTGAAAATGTTTGTTTCTTTCTAATTCTCACATGTTCATTTACTAATCTCATGAAATTTATTCTTTCCTGAGCTGTCATGTTTTTGACTCTTCCTCTTCTGTGTGAAGTATTTCTTTAAGTATCTTCTGCAGTATTGGCTTATTGATCATGAATTTGCTGATCTGGGAAGATCTTTGTTTCTCCATTGATTTTAAAAGATTACTTTTCTGGATATAGTATTCTTGGTTGGCAGTTACTTACTTTCATCACTTGAAGTATGTCATTTCATGCTTTCCTGGATTATAGGATTTCTGCTGAGAGGTCTGATGTAATTCTGATGGTTTTACCTTTGTAAATAAATTGGCATTTTTCTGTTGCAGATTTCAATTTCCTTCTCTAGTCTTGGAATTTTAACTGTAATATGATGTGGGGAGGTTCCTTTCTGGTCATTTCTATTTGGGGTTCCAAATGCCTCTTGTGTTTAGACTCCATATCTTTCCCTAGATTTAGGGAATTTTCTTCTGTAATTGAATACTTTTTTTATACCTTTAGTTTGTATCTCAACTCTTCCCCCACCCCTTAGGTTTGTTCTCTTGATCGTGTCTGAGAGTTCGTGAAAGTTGTGTTTATGTTTGTTTATTTTTTTCTTTATTGCTTTCTGAATATACTATTTCCCTGTCTTCAGTCTCTGGTATTCTTTCTTTTGGTTTATCTAGTCTATTGAAGATGCTTTCCATTATATTTTTTATTTGGTTTATTGAGTTTTTCTTTTCCAACATTTCTGTTTGTCTGTTTGTTCTGAGAATCTCATATCCTTGCTGAATTTCTCATCAGTTTTGCTGACTTTCTCATTCAAGTCTGGAATTGATTTCATCACTTCATTTAGCTATTTGTTTGAGTCTTCCTTGAGATCAATGATCATTTTTAAAGGTAGACTTTTGAATTTTTTTGTCTAGCATTTCAGCCATTTCAGTATCTCTCGATTTAGTTACTGAAGAATTATGAGCTTTTTTCAGGAATCATATTGGCTTGGTTTTTCATCATTTTTGTGTTTCTGTGTTGTGATTTGTACATGTTGTAGGATGGATGTCTCTTTTTTTTTTGAAGGGTCTTCCTGATGGAGAGAAAGCAGGCAGCAGTAACAGAAACAATTCACAAACACATCAGATATTTAAATGTAGTATGAAACAATTGGAAACATCAACTACATCCCTAATAAGTTTAAAAAAGAAACTAAGATACATTAGGAGTTTAAAAATTATTAGATTTAGAGGTATTAATAATTAAGTACTAAAAAAAGAGTGCTGGAGATTTGAAAAAAAGAGAGAAGAGCAAAGTCAAAAAGAGTGGAAAAGTATGTGGGTTGGAGGTATATGAAATACTAGAATAATGGTGTGAGAGAACATGATAAAATAAGTACAACAAAGGACAAAACAGTTAAAATGAAAAGAATAGAAAAATAACTACAATAAACCACCACCAACAATATCAACCCAAAATATCATAAAAAGCACTATCTAATATTTCTTCCTCACTGAGGAAAAGAGGGGGAATCTCCCCACCTTCACCCTTATCTTCTCAATTTTCTTTATGGGGGAACAACTGTTCTTTCCCTCTCTGAACTCTAAACAAGTTAGATCAGCGGAAGTCAGTATATTGGCTTAGCCCTGCCGGACAGGGTTTCCCTGTTTCCTCAGTTTTGCTTAGCGCTCTGTATTAAGGTTCATTGTTTCTTTTGTAAATCTTAAGTTCAATATACATGGATTTCATCTGGTTTCTAACTGTGTACTGTTTTCTGTTGTCCTCCTTTGCATTTCCTTGTCATCTTCCTCTCCCTGAGCTATGAAACTCAGAGCTGTGGAGACACAGGAATTTACAGGATATCTCTAATCTGCCATCTTAACACTTAACATTTTAATATACATGATTAACCAAATCTAAAATCAATATCTCCACCATCCCCCTAAGTACAAGAACTGCTAAACTTTGGCCACTCTCTGTACCAATTTATATGCTTTTAAAATTTTTATTAGTATACATTAATTTTACAAAGGGATTTCATTGTGATATTTACATATATGCTTATAATGTACTTTTGATCAAATTTACTCCATGTATATTATTCTTTCATAACTCTCCTTCCTCCTTTCCCCCTTTCATTACTCTCTCCTTTTCCCCTCACCCTTCCCACTGATTCCCTTTCCAAAAAGTCCCCCTTGTGCATTCATATCACATTATCGTTTTCTTAGCTCTAGATTCCATATATGAATGAAAACATGTGATATTTATCTTTCTAAGCTTGGCTTACCTCAATTTACATGTTGTTTTATACTTTCATTCAGTCTTGTTTTTAACCCAAAAATGAATTATTACTGTTATTATTGTTATTTATTACTTTATACAATCAATGTTTATTCAGATTTAACCAAATATTTATCAATCCTTTGATCATTCTTGCTCCTTGCATCTGAAGTTTGCCTTCTGGGTTCATTTTCTGTCTTCTTTTGGAAGTTTCTTTACTAAGAATCTGTTGATAGTAAGCTCACCCTGCTTTTTGCCTAAAGCTATCTTGGGAGGAATCCTTAATCCTAGATGATACTTTTGGTATAAAACTTTCCCTTGACTGTTGTTTTCTCAGCACTTTGACAGTATTATCTCCATTTTCTTAATGGCTTCTACTCTGGCTAAGAAACTTGTTCAATTTAATTATTGTTTCTTTTCTGTCTACTTTGAAAGTCTTTGGGTTTTTATTGCCTTTAAGTTTTTCCCTTATATGCCTATATATTAATTTCATTTTATTTATATTGTTTGGATTAGTTTTATTTCCTGTATAAGAGGATTAAGATTTTTATCAATTCTGGAAAACTCTCAGGCATTATATCTTTAAACATTCTTCTCTCACATTCTGTTATCTCAGAAAATACTATTAGTGTGTTAGTCCTGCCTTTATCCTCCATGTTCCTTAACTTTCCTCCTTTTCTATCCCTTTGTATCTCTGCTGCATTTGAGTAATTTCTTCATCTTTATCTTTAAAGTCACATCTAATAACTGTTCACTCTCTCCATTTACTTTTCAATTTTAATGATATATTTTTCATTTCTGCAATTTTACTTAGTTCTTTTGGAAATCTGCATCATATATTTTTGATAGTATCTTTTTCTTTTCTACCTTTTCATTGCACATTTTGTTTCTTTAAAAATTTCATGCATTTATTATTGCGCATCCATTATCTTACATTTTTAGGATAGCCTCCTGTTATTTCTGTTTATTCTCATCCATAATAGCTTATTTCCATGTCTGTTTGTGAACTACATTTTGATAAGAATTTATCTGTGGGAATCCCATCCAGCCTGATATGAGAAAATCCAGAGTGAATTTCCATTTGCTTTTTCTGGTTACTCCTGGGAGCTAACAACTTGAGGCCACTGTTTTTAAACCCTCAGCAAAATATTTTAGTAATATGGATCATGTACTTTTGAATCACAAACCCACCTAATTTGTGGTTATAAATTCTTACAAGAGGCTCTTCCTAAGTTTTTCTACCAAGAACCATGGAAAGATGAATACATTTTTTTCTTGTTTCCTTTTTTCCTGTGGATAGACTTTTTCTAGTTTATACTTTTACTGAGGGTGTACAGACTTGCCATTTTACAGTCTCAGATTTATGTTAGAGTTTCAGTCCTAACTCCCCACTGTGTACACACCTAAGATTTTGTCTTTTCCTACCTTTATAAGGTTTTTAAAATTCAAGCCTCTTGGTTACTATGATTGCCAAGTGCTCTTGGGACAGCCATAGCTTCTGCACCCACTTATCTCTTGTTTTTCCAAGTCACAATTTCTCTTATTCTTCAGAAATGTCAGTAGTGCAGTTAAGTAGACATCTTGTACTGGGAAATTTTGTCATTGTATAGCCCACTCTATTGATCACCTCGTTTAACAGATGAAAAACTAAGACCCTAAGAAAGAAGTGAGTTGCCTACATTCATACTGCTAGATCAACAATTCAAGTGGCCCCATAACTAAGTTTTCCTGATTTCTGGGCTACAATTCTTGCTCTCTGGGTAAATATGCCTCATTCCTTTCTTACTCGAGGATTTCTCTTACCTTTAGTCTTATGAGGATCTGGTTCAGCGTCTGGAGCCAGTTATAATGGAGCTAGAACGACAGGAGAATGTACTGGTGATCTGCCACCAGGCTGTCATGCGGTGCCTCCTTGCCTACTTCCTGGATAAAAGTTCAGGTAACACCCTCTTTGTTCCTGTCTTGGGAAATTGGATGTGATTTTTGACATGCTGACACCAGCAATCAAAGGTTTATATCTTAGTAGTCAAAAGCACAATATCTAAAACAAGGATGCCTAGGTTCAGATTCTGTACTACCTTTGACAAAGTACTATAACCCCTGTGAGCCTCAAGTTTCCTCATCTATAAAATAGGAATAGAGTTAATGGTGAAGTTTAGATAAACAACATATGTAAAGAGCTTAGTACAGTTCATGATATGTTGTGTTGGCTATGAAATCGTTATTAGTATTAGTATTACTCTGAGCTAATGTTTTCAAGCCAGCATTAACAGCGTGCCTTAGCCTAAAATGCCAAGTCAATATTTCTCTGAAGCACGCTCTTCTTGGGTGATGGTGAGACCTTTTATGGCCTTATAATCATAATTACAGGTTTATATCTTTGCTATAGGGATAATTTACCCAAGATAGTGATGTTTTCATTTTATTTTTTCAAACAACAATTTATCTTTAAAAATCTAGATATCGTATTTACAGAGAATCCATATACTGATTCCATATTCTGAGCTGCAAATCATGGCAAGAGACTGTTGTAACACCTTCACACATGAGTCCATTTCTAATGTGGGTGCTAAAATGTTGGTATTTCTAGAATATTTTGAGAGTGTTTGAAGGCAGTATAAAATGATATTTAATGCCTACAATGTCCTGAACTCTTGGTTCTTTTCTATTATGCTAATTTCAAAATAAAGAACAATCAAAATATGGAATTATACAGAATTGAAACCCAGGGAACTTGAGAATTTGACCTTGGGTGAGTCTTTTTCTCTACCTGGTCTTCAATTTCCTCACTGGATATAGGTGATGGAATGCATGGCAAGGGTTCTTGTACTACTAGAATTCTACTATGTTCACATCTCTACTGTTCAAGGCAATTTTTGAAACCCTTGGGTAGGCACTGTAATTCCCATTACCCAGATGAGGAAATCAAGGCTCACAGAGGTGAAGTGACTTGCCCAAGATCATAGGGCTCAGAGTGTCAGGGATAGGAGTTGATTCAAGGTTCATACCAGAAGCCCTCCCCTCTCAAATGTACATGGAGTACAGAGGGCATAGGTACCTCCCTCTTTCTCCATGCCCTACCTACTTTCATGGTAGGACTGACCATGCCAGCTGCTCACAACTGCCCAGGGAACCAGGTAGGGCAGGTTTGGACAGATGGTCTTTCTCCCATTTCTCAGTAAAGTGATAGAATGAGGCCCAAAGAGATGACTGAAAATGCAGACTCACAGAACCACAGGACTGGAGTACCTTCAAAGAATATCTAGTCTAATCCTGTCCTGAAAGATGGGGACACTGAGGGCCAGAGAGTGAAGAGACTTAACCAAGGCTTCTAGTTGAGGCAGTGGCAGGGCTGGGTGAAAGACCTTAGGCAAGTTACTTCTATGAGTCTGTTTCTTCATGTGGACACTGAGGGTGGACAAACCCCAGAGCATCAATGAGGTGCAATGAGATCAAGCCCAAAAAAAACCTTTAGCCTAGAGCCTGATGGTGATGATGACAATGCGAAAGAATAGGATGTATGTTCAGGAAAATGCCCATCCCAATGTCTCAGAGGGATAGGAAGGTGGTGACAGCACTGGAAAGCCTAGAATGAGCCTAAGGGACAAGAATCCATGACAGGTGGTGTCCTGGCTAAATAAAGGAAGGTAGGAATCCATATTGCAGTCTGGGGAGTAGAAAGGTGGGTATGAGGAGAAAGCGTCCAGAAGGTGGGTGTTATCACCCCCAGGACACTGTAAGCTCCTCCATGCAGCAGTTGCAGACTGCAGGGGCAGACCAGGCATCTTATCCTCCGAGGGTCCTGGGTGAGTCCCTGAACACTGCCACTTCCTGGCTTATGTGACTTCAGACCAGTGCCTTTCCTTTTAAAAACCCCAATTACCTTATCTATGGAATGGCCCTCCTCTCAGGGCCACCTAATAAATGGAAACACAGGCTCAGACAGGAAATTGTGTGTGAATATTCAGAGTAACTTTCCGCATAACAGTAACTGGAAACCAGTGCCTCAACCAGTGCTTTCCATGAACAAGAGGGAGTCACAGAAAGCAGGCCTGGGCTGGGGAGAAGGTTGTGGGAGTGGTCTTGTGCCATGTATACCTCTGCCATGGAATTACCACATTAAAAGGGTCTCAGAAAACACTTGCAAACAGAAATTATGCGCCTGCCGTAAGAATGAGGAGGTGGTCCTCTCTGTATGGTCTGCTTGACCTCCCATGGGTCAAAAAGTCAGCCCACTTTTCCCAAGGCCTTACTTCCTTCCCGCACCTAGCCAGTCTGGCGACTCCTTTTCTTCCTGCCCAGCCCACTCTCAACTGTGCCCCTTGCAGAGTAAGGGACATGGGCCCACTTGGGGAAATGGAGATTGAAGAGGGTACACCCAGCAAGCCTGGAGACCAGGGAAATGGTGGTGTGCCCACGTCTCTGAGGCTGTTTTCTCCTCCTTTCCAGATGAACTGCCCTATCTCAAGTGCCCTCTACACACAGTGCTCAAACTCACACCTGTGGCATATGGTGAGTGCCCCCACTGTCATCTAAGAAAAGGCACATAGAGATGATGAGCATCCCCCTTGCACTTGCCATTTGCCTAGCAGAGTCTTGGGGGAGCTTTTCTGAGTAAGTAGTAGGATGTCCTGGTGGAGGTGGAACTGTTGGTAGTAAGACAACAGGGAAGAACTGGAATGGTCTCCAGATCAGGTGCTTGGCTCTAACTTTCAGTCTGTACTGGAGCACTCAGCACAGAACTCTGAGCTATATAAGGGGGAGGGGGAGTGACTCCTAAAGGAGACCAGAGGAAAATTGTAAGTTGGAGCATATTAAAGAGCTTAAGTACCAGTCTAGGCAGACTAGTCTAGTCTGGGTAGTTTAGCCTCTATTAGGCATTAGTTATCTACGAAAGGTTCATAAGCAGGGAATGGACATAATCAAATCTAGTCTGGACTATGAATAGGAAAGAATGGCCTACTGAACCTATAGTAGTGTGCAGTCTACACGGACAGAACTAAGGAGGCCTCCAGAGGCATTGGGCCTCCTCTGCTAGCCTCAGGCCCCAAGAATGCACTCTCTTTCTTCAGGTTCCCAGAACTACCTACTGACCTCCACCTGTCTGGTGTTGCTATAAACAAACTTTGCTTGGGCCTGAGTGCCCAGGGCAGTGGCCCAGGATTCTTCCATGTCTTCTGCATCTAGCATGGCTTGGAGGATCCATGGAGCTCCATCAATCTTACATATATTAGATAGCTGTCTCATAGATTGTAAGAATTTGGTGAGGCCACAGATATCATCTCCTTCCCTGTGTACAAATGAGCAACTGAAGCTCAGAGAACTCACAGAGAGTTCGGGGCAGAGCGGGAAGATGCCCTGTTGTCTGCCTCTTAGGTCTGGCATCTTCCTCACATATCCCACAGATCATCTTAATTCCCTTCCCTGCAGGTAGATAAGAGTATGGAGCTGGGTGTGGGCAGTGATAGGGGGTGGAGAATGATACCTCAAGGAAGACCTGTGTGTACCTCGGGGACTTAAGGACACATGGATTGTTATTTTCCGAGGCTGCAAGGTGGAGTCCATCTACCTGAATGTGGAGGCCGTGAACACACACAGGGAGAAGCCTGAGGTAGGTGGTGGGCTCTATATCTGAGCTAGCTGGGACACAACACATGGTGAAAGCAGCCTCCCCCACAGAAAGGCCACTCCAGCCCCAAAATCCCGAGTGTTTTACAGCCCAGACCTGGGGCACCACGGAGATACAGGACTGGGCCAGTCCCTACCAAAATTTTAGGCTCCAGAGATTCCTCCAGGCCTGCCTGAAGAGGGTCAGAACCCAGGCCTGGCTGAAAGAGGGACACCGGGTGGTGAGGACAAGAGGCAGGGGAGGAATTGGGGGCCTTGCACTGCTGTCTCCTTCATATTAATCCTGGGCTGTGTCTTCTCAGAATGTGGACATCACCCGGGAACCTGAGGAAGCCCTGGACACAGTCCCTGCCCATTACTGAGCCATTTTCAAGGGATCAAACTGCCTCCGTCTTCACTGCCTTCCATCTGCAGGAACTGCTATCCTTGCTTTTTCCCTGAGAACTCTGGCCTTTTCCTCACTGGGAGAGCCTAGCTGCAGTATGTACTCCTCCATGTACTCCAGCAGCTCCAAAACAGGTCTCAATTCCTAGCCACAACTAAGGAGCTACCTAGCTCTCAATGAAGCTTTCTTAACTCCTATTCTGTGATCAATAAAGACCTTGCTTACTTGAGGACAGAAGGACTTCTCCCATTGTTCTAAAGATTGTGATCCAACTCTGGTGTTATGGATGTGGAATAGGTGAGGAATTCCTGGAGATGCACCTCCAAAGATGGGGGAAAAGATAGGTTCCTGTAAGTGCCTGGGGGCTTTGGTCCCTGGTGGCCAAGGTGAATGGGAGAACACTTTCATTCTTATACTCAGAGAAGAATCTGGTACTGGGACCAAGTACCCCATCTCTTCTCCAACTCTTTCTGCCATCCTGAGTGATTTTGCTGTCCATATGAAAGATCCAGCCAACACCCTGGCCTTCCAGTACCCTGACCGCCCCCCTCAACTTCAGTGATCATGGTCTCCTTTTCACTCCACAGATCTTGTTGGCATCATCTCTTGATGCAAGCCTTCCACTCACATTCAAGTCTCTACAACTCAGCATCCTCTATAGGGTCCCTGGCAGCATGCCCCGTGTTGGCATGCGTGTGTATTTCTTGAATGAACAGTATTTGCTTTTGTATGTGAGCGGTGTATTCCTTTGACTAGTCTGTTAGTCCTGTCTCTCCTCAGTATTCCTCCATCCCTAACCAGGTTGAATCCCATGGTCCACCTCTTCAGCCACTGTCTATATACCAACTATGACCCATATACCAGTGACCCAGTGGTAAAAAAGACAGACTAATAAACTTGCTGCCTTTGTTCCCTTGTCCTTTCATCACAATCACCCAGCAAGAGCCAAACCTTGAATAACTCATACCTCCTTTTTTGCTGAGATCTACTAGAGTTGATCATTGCTTAAAGCACATCTATATTTATGAGCTTCCATGGCTATCCCTAAATCCCATTCAAAGTCCAGATCATTCTCTTATTTTTTGGCCTTGTACCCTTCCCGCCTTCTGAGGTTACTTCAGTAAATTCCTGACACTTCTGTACCTCCCAGCCCTCGCTATTAGCTTTGGCCCCACAGTCTATGCAACATGCCCGTCTCTTTCCTAACCCAAGAAAACCCTTCCTTGCTCCCCTGTCCCCTAGGTACATACCCTTTGATCCCTCCTCTTACATAACTCAAAAAGAATCCATACTTCCTATGCAGAATGCTTTATCCAGGTTTGCCCCCTCTGTATCTTTTCTCAAAACTATTATCCCCTGACCTGCCATGCTTTCCCAGGCCTCTCTGCCACTGGAGAAATACCTGTCTTTTAGCCTGAAGCTGGAATTCCACATTCCCCAAAAAGCTTTGCTGATCTCTAGCTCTCATATGAACCCAACCAGTGCATATTTAAAGAAAAAGACTCCAGTTCATTTTGCAAATTTAATGTAACTCTGATACCAAAATACGACAGCACACAGGAAGCAAACAATAAAGCAGGAACAGCAAACAGATTTTTCATAGTGTGTCACCCTCTGCTGACTGGTACTAGCTGCTTAGACTGCTGTGTGGACAAAGATTCCAAGGCTGTACCATAGCTCCATGGAAAGAACAGCTGCAATTCATTAGCGGTATCTGTAAACAAGGGGAATAAACCTGAAAAAAAAAAACAGGAACACTATTTTAGCACCAAATACACTCTTTTCTCGTATTTCCTTGTCTTCATCTTCCCACTCAACTCTCCCGTCTCAGGGCTTCTCTAACATCTCCCAACTACTGTACCCATGCCTATAGGCCCTGGCTATGAGAATACTGTAATACCTGAAACCACACTAGCCGTAGGAGAAGCCACAGGCACCAAGGCTAGAGGTTCCGCCACCAAAGCCAGTACCAGTGCTTGGTCCACTGCCGAATCCAGCACCGGTGGTCGGTCCACCACTGAAGCCAGCACTGCTGCTCGGTCCACCGCCGAAGCCAGTACTGGTGCTCAGTCCACTGCCGAAGCCAGTACTGGTGCTCAGTCCACTGCCGAAGCCAGTACTACTGCTCAGTCCACCACCGAAGCCAGCTCCAGTGCCTGGTCCGCTGAAGCCAGCTCCAGTGCCTGGTCCACCACCAAAGCCACCAGTGCTTGGTCCACTGCAGAAGCCAGCACCAGTGCTTGGTCCACCACTAAAGCCAACAACAGAATTGGGTCCACTACTGAAGCCGGTGCCAGTGCTGGGTTCACCAGTAAAGCCAGTGCTGGTGTTGGAACCACTGCCAAAGCCAATGATGGTACTCAGTCCTCTGTCGAAGCTGGCATTAGGCCCACCACCAAAGCCATCACTGGTGCTGAGGCTACCACTAAAGCCTGCACCAGTGCCAAGTGTGCTGGCAAAACCAGCATTGGTACCCAGACCCAGTCCACCACCAAAGCCATCACTGGTGACCAGTCCACCACCAAAGCCAGCACTGGTGCCCAGTCCTCCACCGAAGCCAGCACTGGTGCCCAGTCCTCCTCCAAAGCCAGTGCTGGTGCCCAGTCCACCACCTAAATCAGAGCTGGTGCTTAGGCCACCACCGAAGCCAGCGCTGGTGCCCAGTCCGCCACCAAAGCCACCACTGGTGCTCAGTCCACCACCAAAGTCAGCACTGGTGCCCAGTCCGCCACCAAAGTCAGCGCTGGTGCCCAGTGCACCACCAAAGTCAGAGCTGGTGCTTAGTCCGCCACCGAAGCCAGCACTGGTGCCTAGGCCACCATCGAAGCCAGCACTGGTGCCTAGGCTGCCACTGAAGCCAGTACTGGTGCCTAGGCCACTGCCAAACCCAGCACTGGTACTCACTCCTCCTCCAAATCCAGTACTGGTGCTTAACCCATTGCCAAAGCTGAAACCAGCACTGGTGCTGGGTCCATCACTAAAACTGGCACTGGTAGCACCACTAAAGCAGGCACTGGTGCTGGGAGAGCTACCAAAGCACAGGTTGGTGTTTGATGCACTGCCAAAACAGAGGCTAGAGCTGGGTGATCCACCAAAACAGAGACTAGTGCTATGAGCACCACCAAAGCTGACACTGGTGCTAGGAACACTACCAAAGCTAATACTGTTGCTAGGAGTACCACCAAATTCAGTAGTGGTACTAAGTGCCCCACTGAAGCCAGCACTGGTACTAAATGCACCACCAAAGTCAGGGTTGGTGCTGGGTACACCACCAAAATTAGCACTGGTGCTGACAGCACCACCAAAGCCAGCACTGGCATGGAGTGTTCCACCAAAGCCAGCACTAGTGTTGAGTGGTCCGCCAAAGCCGGTACTGGTGCTGATGGCACCACCAAAGCCAGTGCTACTGTTAAGTGCTCCACCAAAGCCAGTATTGGTGCTAACAGCACCACCAAAGCTGGTACCACTATTAAGTGTACTACCAAAGCTGGAACTTGTGCTAATGGCGCCACCAAAGCCAGTACTGCTGTTCAGTGCACCACCAAACCCAGTACTGGTGCTGACAGCACCACCAAAGCCGGCACTAGTGCTGATGGTACCACCAAAGCCAGCACTGCTACTGAGTGCACCACCAAAGCTGGCACTGGGGCTAGGAGAGCCACCAAAGCAGACACTGGTGCTGAGTGTACCGCCAAAGTCAGAATTGGTGCTAGAAGAGGCACCAAAGGAGACACTGGTGCTGAGTGTACCACCAAAACCAGTGCTGCTGCTAGGAGAGCCACCAAAGCAGATACTGGTACTGAGTGTGCCACCAAAGCTAGCACCAGAGCTGGGAGAACCGCCAAAGCAGACACTGGTGCTAAGTGTGCCTCCAAAGCCAGTGGTGGTGCTGAGTGCGCCACTGAAGACAGTGCTAGTGGTAGGTGCACTGCCAAAGCTGGGGCTAGTGCTAAGTACACCACTAAAGCCAGCTGTGGTGCTGCTGAGTGTGCCTCCAAAGCCATAGTTAGCTCCATCACTGAAACTGGCACTGGTACAAGGTGCACCACCAAAACTAATACTGGTGCCGCCACTGAAACTACTGCTGGTGCTGGGTGCACCACCAAAGCTAATGCTGGTTGCACTGCTGAAACTACTGCTAGTGCTGGGTGCTCCACCAAAGCTAATGCTGGCCCCACCACTGAAGCTAGTACTAGTGCTGGGTGCACCACCAAAGCTAATGCTGGCTGTGCTGCTGAAACTAGTGTTAGTGCTAGGTGTACCACCAAAGCTAATGCTGGTTCCACCACTGAAACTAGTGACAGTGCTGGGTGCTCCACCAAAGCTAATGCTGGCTGTGCTACAGAAGCTGGCACTAGTACTGGGTGTGCCACCAAAGGTAATGCTGGCTCCACCACTGAAACTACTGCTAGTGCTGGGTGCACCACCGAAGCTAATACTGGCTGCGCTGCTGAAGCTGGCACTGGTATTGGGTGCACCACCAAAGCTTATGCTGGCTGCACTGCTGAAGCTGGCACTGGTGCTGGACGCACCACCGAAGGTAATGCCAGCTCCACCACCAAATCCCCCACTTGGGCTGGAGGCACCACTGAAGCTAATAGTAGTAGTATCACCAAAGCTACCCCTAGTGCTAGCTCCTTGACTGAAGTCAACATTGGTGTTGGCATCTGCATTTTCTTGGGCTCTGGCCTCAATTTCAAATGAAAATCTGCTCCAGGCCTGAGCATCATCACCTAACTCTTCCCTTGTTAGGCAGTCAATATCCATGTCATCCCAATTCCAGGGCCCAGCCACAGCTTCCTCTCCAATCCCCATCTGGGCTCTTGCCTCAGCCCTGGCCTCAGCCTCAGCCACAGCCACAGCTGCAGCTTGGACTTCCATCTCCACTGCCTCCCGGTACTGAGCAGCCCAATCCTTGGGGTCTTTCTTCTGAACCTGAAGTGGAAATGACAATCAATACAATGAAAACAACCTTTGTAATTATGTATAAAGCACCTGTTACAGGATTTGTATAAAACTAGTAATAGTCATTTTTTTAAAATTCTGACTTATCGGGGCTTCTATTTTCAGCTGTGATAACTTAGATGTGATGTGACTTTGGACAAGTTACTTAATCTCACTAGACCCAAATGTCTTTATTTGTAATATGTAAAATGTTAAGAGTAAGCATGGTATGAACTGACAGTCTGTATCTTCCCCACTCCCACCCCAAAATCCACATTGCAAATTCAATCCCCAATGTAACCATATTTGGAGATAAAGCCTTTTATGGAATTCCAGTTAAATAAGGTCATAAGGGTAGGAGGGTGGGGCCCCAATACAAAAGGATTAGTGTCCTTAAAAGATACCACAGAGCTCAGGCACACTCTCTTCCATGAAAGGGCACAGCAAAAAGGCAACTGTCTGTAAACCAGGAAGAGAGCCCTCACCAGAAACTGACTGTGCTGGACATTGATCTGGGATTCTCAGCCTCCAGAACTGTGAGAAAAATTGATTTCTGTTTTTTAAGCCATTCAGTTTATGGTATTTTGCAATGGTAGCCTGAACTGATTAATGAAAATGAATGGGCCAATATAAAATATGTATCTCGCAGCATTCTGGGACATTAATGAAGCTTTATGTATTTATACGTGAACTTCAGGTTGCCTTGTACCTTTCTATCACTGCGCACAGCCAGGGCCATCCCAATTCCCTTATAATGCAAAGCTTAGTCGTATATTACCTTGCATGCAAACTTGAGGACTTTCATCTTGCTAGTCTCATGATAAGAGCGCAGACCCCAGAAGAACTCATATTCAGGTGGTCTGCTGTTAGGGACCCTCTTGTATTCCAGATACCTTGAAAAGAGGAAACAAAACTTACTTCTTACTTCTAAATGAGCAAACCTATTTAACCACCAGGCCCCAGAGGGCAACCTCCTCTAAATAAAAAAATACTAATAATAACCAATTAAACAGCATCTGGAGAAAGATTTCCAAGACCCTCCAGTCTCAGACTCATCACACATAGTTCATGGTCTCCAATACTGATTCATTTCCCATCAGCCCTGTGCAAAAGTTACTTGGGGTACATATATAGGGCATGATGTCACAGGAAGGCCAATGTATCCTGCCCACTGTGAGGAGTAACCCCAGATTCCTTTTGGGTGTGTTGTAAACAGAGGAGCCATTCTTCGGGCCCCCTGCTCTGAGCACACCCCAATGCACAGGCCTTGTGTTTGGTATGGCCAGTCCTAGACAAGTCCATTCATGGAAACTTTAGACAGGACTCAGGTCAAGGACAAGAATGTCTATGCCTCTAGAGACAGTTTAAGAAAGCCACTGACTACACACTTTCTGAACCAGACCCCGAATGTTTCAGGGCCAAAGAATAAAAACAACACTTACTTCTGTTTCACAAACTCGTCTGTGATAAGCTTCCTCACTTCCCCAAAAAGCGAATGCCTCACCCTGGCAATAGGAAAAATAACCCATCAACACTGACCAGAACTGCCCAGATGATAGCAAAGGCATTTCCCAACATGGAAGAGACCTCTCTAGCACATGGGGCAGTCTCAACGAAGCGAAGAAAGTAGTGAGCACATAGCCACAAGAAGCAAACAGCAGAGGCCAGATAGCTCTTTGTCAGGGATCCCTGAAGGTCTGTCTTAGAACAGACAAAGGACATGAGAGGGAAAAGAAGCCAAGAGTTCAGAACATTTCCCCACCCACCCAAGGTCAGCACCCCCCACCCAGGCCACCAGACCACCAGGCTGATGCAATCCTGGGACCGTCCTCTCTTGCCAAAGGACAACACGAACAGCAAGCGCTGAGAGAGCCCAATCATACCCAGGGTGCAGCCCCAACTTGCGCAGCACCTCCCAGATGACAGCTGCAAAAGGAGGCAAGAGGAGACAGAGACAGAAAATGAGCATGTGGAATTCAGACCACGGACACCCATTCAGCTGTATGCCCAGCCACTTACCCTCACTGGCCTTGTTGCCATTCATAAAAATGACACTCAGAATCACCATAAGGAGACCCAGCTTTGGTGTGTCCTTGGTCCTAAGGGAATAATAGGACGAACAGGAGGTTTATGTCCAGGAGCCATCTGCAAGACACACCAGCCAGCTCACTAGGCTAGCCTCTCCCAGATTCCTCAGATATGAGAGAAGTCTGCCGAGTCTATACTTCCAGTTCTATGTAACCCAAGGCTAGGTACTTAGACGCTTCCATTCAGTAAAACAGGAAAACCACATCCTACCCCCACCCAGGTTGCTGAGAAGACAGAAGAACACCTGTCAACCAGGTACTACATAAGCACCCAGTCAATGTGAGTCCTGTCTTTCTCTCCCAGAGTCCTCAGCCCCGAGGTCAGAGCCCAGTGACACTCCTGCTCTTCAAGCATCATGGTCCATCCACACCAAGAAGCCCTCCCTCCCTTGAGAAGCGCTCTACCAAAGTCAGGCCTGGCACTCAGTACAAAGAGACAAGTAACAATAAGCCTGCTTTCCTGGGAAGCTTCTGGAAAAAAGGCAAACCTGACAACAGGAATGCCCTATCTCATGCTTCTACACCCTTTGGTCAATCATAATCTGGTACCACTACTGCCTGCAGGACTCCAACCATGTGTGGGAGCTGAGGCAGGGCCTTTTTTTTAGTCCCTGTCTTTCCTGACCCTCTGAGAGGACGTGGGGAGAGAGGGCAGGGAAGGGACAGTACAGTGGATGAAAGCAGAAGCCCTCTCCCGCCCCAGCACTTTCCCAGCTTACGTTCCCAGTATGCCTGCAGAGGACTCCTGAGTGCTGATAAGAATATACAAGCTACTTTGCTTATCAATTTCCTTCAGATTGACTCGGAACATCTGCCAAGTAAAAGAATAGTCTGTGAGATCACAAAATTCAACATACATATCAATAAGCTTCTCAGGAATCCTGCAGCTCCCCCATGCCTAGGGGTTTGGTAGGGGGAATTGGTGAGATAATGCACATACAGCATGAGCTGAGTACCCAGCACTTAATGAACATGCAACAAATTTACAACGTCATCAACATCATCTTTGTGATTAGTGAAATCTAAGAAGACGGGGGTGAATATCTGAAATACATGAGATGTGTGTGGCAGCTGACAGAAGCCAGGACTAAGGCAGGTACTTGGGTCTGAGCTGTGCTTTCACCACTGACTTACTGTGTGACCCATGGCTGGTCTACATCCCTGCCTAGGCTACTGTGTGCCCATCTGCACAGCGATGGGGCTATATTAACAGGTCCCCCCCCCAAAGGGCCATTGTACATCTTTGTTCCATTCATGGCTTCCCCAATGTGCCCATCCCCCAAGACTGCCGTTCACCTTCTCCAGAGCGTAGCTTGCTCGTTCAATGATCTCTGGAAAATATTCATCATATTCTTGGATGACATCCTTCAGCATGTCTGCAGGAATGAAAAGGTAGGGGAAGCCAGGCTGAGCAGAGGCCGCAAAGCTGGGGTGTTTGCTAGCTCTGTGGGGTCAGTGCAGCCAGAGTCCTGAACTAGGTTATTGGGAGGTGCCAGCCATGGTGATGTGTGAGGAGGGCAGAGATGGAGATATGACAGAAAGAGGCCATAAAGGTAAAGGTTCTCCCTGGGCCACGGAGGGAGAGGGAAGTGGAGAGGAGAGTTCAAGGATGATTGGTAGGACACTACCTGAGCGCTTGATGGGGATCTTTGTCTGGTCCTTAACCAACAGGTATTTCACCAACTTATTTGCCTGGGAGAAGAGAAACAGATGGGGCAATATCAATATAATGGCAGAAAATTTGGAAGAATGGCAAGGAAGAGGAAGAAGAACAAAGACTGGGTAGCAATGGATTCTTACCCTTTCTTGCAAAATGGCCACATCTCGGGGTGGTGAAGGCCTCTGGCCCCAAGGGATCCGCCTGTAATTACTGCCACTTCTCTCTTCCCCATTTGTGTGCTTAGACTTCATCATCAAAAAGAAAGAAGGTCCAGAGTCACCAGGTGAAAAGAGATGGCTGCCTCCCCCAGAAAGTCCCGCTAAACCCTCGCCTGTCATGGGGCTGATCCTACAGAAGCCAGGGTCACCCTGAGTCCTGGGCTTTTCTTTTACTATCTTCCAGGCAGAAGTTTCATTCCCCTGCTAGGACAGGAACAGTCCAAAGGCAGGGCCTGAGGCTCCTCTTATTTCTTTGGCCACCACTGGACTTTGCTATCTATACTCCTTGGTATACTTCATTCCTCTGTGACTTATCTGCAAAACTGGACCTATAGTCACTAGTTAGTCAGTTATTTTCAGGACATAAAGCATTACCTGTGTAAATATATATAAACACAAAGCCTGGCATGTGGTAACTACTATGCAAATATACAAGGTGATTTATGTACAAGTTGTAGCTAAGTATACAGATATCTTATCTCCCTATGAATCTGTGAACTACTAGAAGACAAACTATATCACATTCTTCTCATTGCCTATCTGAACACAGAGACTAGCTCAAAGTAAAAAGGTTCAGTAGAAGAAACGAACAAACTACAAGGACAGGAAGGGAAAAGTAAAACAAAGGATGATGTCACAGATCTCACCTTTCGGTTCCTCTTGCCCCGGGTCCTAGTTGTGGGTTCCAAACTCAACTGAGCCAGATAGTCATCTGCCAAGGCCTGGACAGCAGCAGCAACCTGAGTCTCAAGGGCACTTATGCTTGTCTGAGAGGTAGCTATCTTGCCCTGGGCCCCTTGGTCAGCAATTTGGGTCTGGTTTTCAGTTGCCCGAGCCTTGGTGGCAGCCTTTCGAGCCCTGGACCCTCTCCTGATCCGAACGGTGACGGAAAGGGCATGGTTTGTGACCATTTGAATAGCAGATGGGGCCTCAGAGATCTCATTGGCAGAATTTGAGCCCTTATTGGCAACCTTCTTGCCCTTGGGTTTTTTGGACCGGAGAGCTGCTGAGACCTCAGTCTGTCTGCTAGCTGCCTCCATGGTATTTGGGGACTCTAGATGCTCAACATCAGTATTTGTGACCTTAGCAGTTGTCTTCTTGGTTTTGGAAGATTTCTTGGTTCGGATGGAGGCTGCTGTGGCCTGGTTATTGGCTGTCTCGTTGGCAGTTTGGCCTTGGTTAGTAGCTATGTGGGTGGCAGTTGAAACCAGTGAGATCTCAGTGGCACAAGCAATGGCCTTACTGGCAGCCTTCTTAGCCTTGGAAACTTTCTTGGGCTTGGTGGAGGCTATCAAGGCCAGGGAACTGGCTGACTCACTGGCAACTGGAGCCTGGATAGTCTGTGAGGTGACTGGTAGGTTCAGGGCCTGCAAGGGTGCCTTGAGCTGTGTAATGACACCCTCACTGCCATTTGGGGACTGGGAGCCGTGAGATGCCTTGGAACTAACTCTCTTTGTTTTGTTGGGTTTCTTAGGCTGAGAAGTAACTGAAAAAGTCTGAATATTGGCTGCCTCAGTGGTAGCTGAAGGCTGGTTCATCTGAGTAAGGAATGGTAGGTTTAAAGCCTGCAAGGTTATTTTAGACTTGTTGGTCGCAATCTCATTGGCAGATGGAACTGGAGGGGCAGCAGGTGTGGCCTTGGTAATAGCCTTAATAGGGGTCTTCTTGGTCTTGCTTTTCTTAGGCCGGTTGACAATAGGTGGATCCTTGGTTGCTGCCAACAGGGTATGCATCAGCAAGACACTGTCCTCTTCTGTGGTCTCAGTCTTTACATCTGGAGAGAAGGGAAGCCCCAGGCTCCCAGGGGGAGGCAGAGGGCCCTACATACTTAGGATTATGATTCTCTGGGCCATCTGGCCTCCCTCTACCCACCCCTTTCCATGAAGGCCTCCCCTTTCTTGAGCAGTGTGTGACTGAAGTGGGTGGGGAAAGAGGAAGGGAGCAGGGAATATAGTTAGGCAGTATTTCCTCTCCTCCCTCTCCATTATGCAAAGGAGGACTGAGACAGGTTAGGCAGGGAATTATGCAACTATATAGGCAGGGTAGTGGGCTCAAGAGCAGTAAGTAAACTCGGGATAGGGCAGATTAACTATTGAGAATGCAGTGAGGCCTCACCTGGAACGCGGGTATCCTATAACCATAGTCGTTTCTTCTATCCATCTTTTTGGGAGGCCAGGTAAACAGCAAGCCTTAGTGAAATAGGCCTGTTAGGGGAGAATGAGGGAGAGGGAGATTCAAAAGTCTTGCCTAATTTGAAAGTTGGGGGAGCTTACCTAACCTGACCCCAAACCTTCCAGCTCCTGGGTTCTCATACCTAGAAACCCAAGCCATCTGGTTTCTGAGTTCCAGCTCCTCCTGTTTCCAACATGGCAACTGTACCCCAGCACCTACGGACGCCCCCTACCGCACCGTAACATGATAGTGCGCATGCGCAGCGAACAGAGGCTCCCTTCAGGCCCACCGCTTTCCCAAAGGAGCCCAGAGCCTGTTCGTCAAGTCCCTCAGTGCGCATGCGCCTTGGTCGCAGCGCCTGTCTGACCATCTCATTCCGACATATGCCCCCATGCTTTCGAAACAACAAAACATTTCGGTCCCACCCTTGACCCCCTACTTCTAACTGCATCACATCTCAGTCCAACCCTTCCCCCAACATCGGCCCACTCCCTCCGCTCTGCAGTACCGCTTCGCACCGCCCCTTCCCCAACACCGCCACCTCTTCTCTGCGGTACTGCCACGCACCGCCCCTTTTCGACTTGTCCTCTCCCGCCGCTCTGCAGTACTTCTCCGCACCTCCCCTTCTCTTATTAAGCCCCCTCCCCCCCCACCTCCCCCATCCCGGTCTGCAGTACTTCTCTGCACCGCCCCTTCCCCAACACAA